CCTTTCCACTCTCTCTAAAAATCAGTGGAAAAAATATCCTCAGGTGAGGATTAAGAACAACAACAAAATATTTATTGCAAAAGTGGGACAAATGAGGTGAAACATCAAGTGCATTAGCTGAAGCCTTAGGACATGTAGGGAAGCTCTGCAGATGTCGTTAACATTCATTCATGCAACAAATACTTTTTATTTACCACGTGCCAGGCACCGAGGGTCCACTGGTGAACAATATGGGCACGTTCCTGGTCCGTATTACCTACAGTAGTTCAGTACACAATTATTTCAATTTTAACTAATGGTACGTATGAGGAAGTAAAGAGGGCAACGAAAGGCTAGCCTAGTCAGGGAAGGCTTTCCTGAGGAAGTCACTTACCAGCCGATTGCCGGAGGATGAGAGAGAAAGCGTAGTTGCAAGAGGGAAGTGGACAAACAGTATGGGATGGCAATGCTGGGCTGCCGCTGAGTGCTTCCCTGCTTCTGTTCTCAGGGAAGCTGCTCTCACAATAGAGAGTTGGCTGGAAGGTGTTTCTCATCGGAACCCACAGTGGGGTGCCAGAGGGCTGGGGGGTTTTCCAGGGCTGTAGCCATACCTTCTGACATGTGCAACCCATCGTCTGCACCCCAGGTGGCTCTTACCTGGAGGAGAGGGAGCCATGTGTCCTGTGGGAGTTGACAGGACTGGTTTGGAAATGGCTCAAAAGCTAAGGATACCCTGGGCTCAGCAGTGGTCCCAAAGTACCCACGTCCATCCACCCCTCATCCTAGGATGGGTACTGACATTTTCTCAGTCTTAAGTAGAGTGGAAATGCCCAAGACAAGTCCACCATTCATTTTCCATCCATATTTCCACTCCCGAGTTCTTGGAAAGACATGCTGGGACTGTGGTAAAAAACTACCCATGAAGCAAGTTTCATTCTTCCCACGTTCTGTGTTATTCTCTTTTTGCATAACCTAATACAGATTCTTTGGCCTGTGTCTCAGTCTGGGTAATGGCAATATTCTCCTTGTTTTATTGTAAGCTACCATTACTCTGTGGACTAGGTGACTTATACACTAGCCTATTAATTGCAACTACAGTTCAGCTACAGCATGTCCAGGCCTCCCGGACTCCGTGAAATCAGGCCCCCTTTCCTTTGATGTCCAAATTATAGAGGTAACAACAGATCTCCACTCGACCTCTGTGTCCTCTAGCCACTTCTGGGCGGCCCCAACAGGATGTGTCATTCTTGCTCACACACCCGCTGCTGTAACCTCGCAGATTCGCCTGCTCCTTTCTCCTGCTCTGGCTCCGCCAGGCCTGCTTCCTGCGGGGCCACGTGGACGGCCGCAGGGCTGTCACTGCTGCGGGGGTCAGAGCAGCATGGTCAGGCAGGGGAGGGCCTCTTCCTGTGCTCTGGGCTCTGCTGTGTCACCTGGGATTGGAAGCAGCGATGCTTAGGACTGAGAGTCAGGAAGATTTTGTGTGACGTTTCCCTACTTTCTGGGCCTCCCCCATCTAAGCACTGGGGCTTAACACCAAGTCCTAAAACCTAAGTCCTAGCACCATCCCTCATGCCTCCTCGGTTCTTAGCCGTCCCAGCAACTACACTTGGGGCTACACTCCAAGTCACAAAAGGTCCCAACCGTATCCACAGAGGCAAACAGGTGTATCGTGTCTGGTCACGGTGCTGATACATGAGGTTGGGAAAGACGTGGCTGGTGGGATGTGGTCAGACTTCTTGGAATCATCCAGTCTGGGGCTGGATGTTAGCTTCTTACAGGATTTCCCTGGCAGAGCGGCTGTCCCGCACCCAAGGTTCTTGGATCCTATGGAAGGGAGACACGGGTCCCTTGCAAAGTTTGGGTGCAACACCCCTGGCGGGAGGGTGAGGAACCCGGGTCCCAGCTGGGTTGTTGTCCCAGAATGATTTACCTACGTCAGTTTTGGATAGTCCTGACTGTGGGCCCATGAGTCTCCTTCACTTTTACACCCCAGCACTGAGCACACAACCGGCATAGGATTGGTCTCTGAGCAGTGCTGCCGGTTTAATGAGCAAATGCACTTCTGTGCCCATTGAAACAGCTCACTTGTTCTTGCCGACGAACTGAGGGAGATTGGTAATAGATGCTGTTGTCCACATTTCTCGACCCCGTGGAAGTGAGGTGCACACTCTGCCTGGGCTCTAGAGGATCTGCCACTCCAGGACGGGGCTCAGGCTCCAGGATAGGGCCCTCGGCTCCAGGAGGGGGTTCAGGCTCCAGGATAGGGCCCTCGGCTCCAGGAGGGGGTTCAGGCTCCAGGATAGGGTCCTCGGCTGGCTCCAGGAGGTTCAGGCTCCAGGACGGGGCTCAGGCTCCCAGCTCCAGGACAGGGTTCAGGCTCCAGGATAGGGCCCTCGGCTCCAGGACGGGGCTCAGGCTCCAGGATAGGGCCCTCGGTTCCAGGACGGGGCTCAGGCTCCAGGACAGTGCTCCCAGCTCCCAGCCCAGCAAGGTCTGCCTCTACTGGTTGCTACCATTCCCTGCAGCCCCGGCCAAGAGGCAAGGTCTCGGATCCGGGACACTCCGCAAGGAAGTCCCTGCGGACGCAGAGGCCTGGAACTTTCCATGGCCTCTCCCGGGGCAGTCTTTTCAAGTCTCCAGTACTTCCATGAATTAGATGCGGAGTATAATGGGAGGTTAGCTACTGTTTGTCAGTTTTTAATGAAAATAATTGGGAAAATTACACCCCTTAAACACTTCTCTAGGACAGTATGTTTTATTCCACTTCCCACTGAAAACCCCTTTTAAAAGGACTGTCCCCATAAAAGGTCTGTTTTGAAAGACTTTGTTTACAGGCAAACACATTTGTTCCATAATAACGAATTTATTTTCTTAAGAGGAAACCGAGTCAAGATTTTTTTTTCTAACTAAAAGTCATCCTTGAGGTTTCATTTTGAATAAACAATTACTTTTGCGCTTCCTGAAAAACTGAAAGTTGCTGCAGGAATTCTCCCAAACTGCTAGGCTTCTAGGTTGTAATCCCGGGTTCCAGAAGGCACCGGGCACACAGCACAAAATTCACAACAGCCTGCGCCCGCTCCCCCTCCTGCTGCCAGTCCACCTCCTCAGGTAATGCGTGCTCAAGTCTGGAGGAGCCCTTCCTGCCGCAAGATCTCCCAGGCCAGGGGGCCCACTGAGTGGCGGGGTTTGTGTCTGCCAGGCCGGAGAGGCCAGACTTCAGCCCCAGCTTTTTTCACATGACATCGCACGGGACATAGTCAACAAGCACGCTGGCACATTCCACCCTCCAACCTAAGGAGCTGTCCCTTGGAGATTTAGAATAAGTCACCCGTCTTCCTAGAGGAACCTCTCCGCCATGGCTGTGCAGGACCCTGGTAGGAAGCTGTTACTTTGGGCTGGGGGAACTTTGCAAGCGAGAGCGTAACACAGCAGTAACACTTTTCTAAAAGGAAAAAAAAGAGAGTTTTTATTGCCTTTGTACATTGCCATAGCACTTTTGGGGGGAAATAGAATAAATTGGAGTTGGAAACCTGACCTTGGCTGTGTAAGAACAGCGAGAATCTGGTACGTCTTCATTTCCCATTCAGGTCCTCAGCGTACCAGGAAGCAGTTTGCTCAAGTTTCTTTTCTGCATTTAGCTCTCCTGAATGCCCAGCCTCAGTGCCCAGGCCTTGCTGCCAAGGGTCCTGCTGGCGCATTCAGCTGCCGCTCCAGGACACAGCCCTCCGACCGCCTCGCCCCTGGAAGTCTGTCTTACAGCACAAAACAGGTGGAGGGACATTCCGCCTCTGGCGCCTGGCCCGCATGTCTTGCTACTTCTATTGCCCAGTGCCAAGAATGACAACAATCTTCTGTGTGTGCTTGGGGGTGGGAAAGACCAGATATAACTGTGGATAGCAGTGAGCTTGCTCGTTGGACAAGATTCCCAGGGCAGCTGTTGTATCTCAGACACTTGGCTCTATTGCTAGGATGGATGAATAGGAACTTTGGACAAATCATTTAAAAAATTATGCTCCCGTGATGACTGTTGAATATATCAGGGATCATTTTAAAGACTGAATATTTGCTATTATCATAATAAGGAAGTTATTTGCTAACATCATAATGGACTTGGGTGTGTTTACACTTTCAATTCCATTCTAACTATCCCATTTTCAGTAAAGTCATTAGTATCTGTTGGCAAAAATTTGATGACACAAGATTTACAATCTATAGCTACAACTGAGACCCAGTTATCATTTAAAAAAATATGTCTTTATTAATTTCAGAGAATAGAAGGGAGAGATAGAAACACCAATGATGAGAGAGAATCATTTATTGGTTGCCTCCTGCACACCCGCTACTGAGGATCAAGCCCACAACCCAGGCATGTGCCCTGACCAGGAATTGAACCATGACCTCCTGGTTCATAGGTTGACACTCAACCACCAAGCCACACCGGCCTGGCAGGGTTATCTTTTTAAAAAAATTATTTATTTACGGATTTAAAGAGATAGAGGAAGGGAGAAAGAGCGAGAGAACACTGACTTGTTGTTCCTCTTATTTATGCATTCATTGATTGATTCTTGTATGTGCCCTGACTAGGGATGGATCCCGCAACCTTGGCATATCAGGATGATGCTCTAACCCACTGAGCTACCCGGCCAGGCCCAGGGTTATCTTTTTTATGTGCTGACATTCTTAGTTACACTAACAAGTTAGTTAAATTCACAATGGAATTATAAATTCTAACTTAAGAATTTGCCCATTGTTTGTTCTTAGCCAAAGACTTTAACCTATGTTTGATTCAGTCTTGATGCATAATCATCTTCTTTATTTTGTATATAAAGAACAAGATTATATTAGTATTCAATTGGTAGTTATTTCTACTAAATTAAATGTACACTTTAGTGGAAGATAAAAATGTGACTAACTGAAATGCTATTCCTGGAAAATGAAGTCTCAATGAAAAGTTCTGTGAATTTTAACACTGTCAGTTACATTTCCTCAAGATCCCCTAAACCAGATTAATGTGCATCAGTTTAAAAATATAGTGTTGAGTGGTTCTGCCTTCATCTTTTCCTTTTGATTGAACCTATCCAGACAAATAGTAACAGAGACAATTGCCCCCACTTCAGAGTGGGTTTCGCATGGGCATTATTGATACAGCTACAGGTCCTGTATTACCAGTAAAGCATAGATTAAAATTGGCCTTGACTAAAATGGACTTAACATTTTGTTTTGATTTTTAATATGTTTTTATTGATTTCAGAGAGGAAGGGAGAGGGAGAGAGAGATAGAAACATCAATGATGAGAGAGACTCATTGATCGGCTGCCTCCTGCACGCCCTACACTGGGGATCGAGCCCACAACCCTGGCATGTGCCCTGACTAGGGATCGAACCCTGACCTCCCGGTTCATAGGTCGATGCTCTACCACTGAGCTACACCCACCAGGCTGGACTTAACATTTATTTTGGTTCTTGGATCGCAGCGGAAAGTTGGCTCCACAGCATCAGCCATCTGGCCTGCCCTGTCTCGCTTCATGCTGACCATTCACTGCCTTGGCTTGCTACTGCGACTCTTCTACTCTCTCCTAACTCCTCCACCTGAGTCAAAGCCCAACACGACTTCAGCTCTAGTTCTGGCCAACCTGGTCCGTCCTGCTCAGCAGCTGACACTCACCTGTGCCAGCCTTCCTGTCATTCCTGGGGCCTGGTTCCGCCCAACAGTCTCTGCCAGTTTTGCTACTTACAAACCCACGCCTCAACCACTCCCATGGCGTCTCCTTCTGCCACCACCTTTTCTCCGACCCTCCTGCTGTCTGTCTGCCTGTGTTGGCCGCTCTCGGCTCAGCTGCTGGCACCTGCATGAGCCACATACTGATAGAGCCAAACACAAGGTCAACGTGGCCCTGCCGGGCTGACTTCGGTCCTTCCTGCGACCCCGTGGACGTGGCACTGGCACGTGATCTTCTTGGGATTCCAGTCTTGGTTTTCTACTCTTTCCTGGAGTTCGTTTCCCCTTGGTGCCTCCGGGGAGCACCCTCCATGTTCCTTCTCCTCCGCCTCTGGCCGGGGTGCCCAGCAGGTCCCCAGGCCCGGCCCAGATTCACTGGGATGCTCTGTCACCACCTGCTTATCTACCCTTCTTATCTTTTTGGACAGGTGGATAGTGTTGCCTCTGTTCACCTGCCCAGGGTTTAAGGCAAAATATGCCTACAGCCTAGCCAGCATGGCTCAGTGGTGGAGCATCAACCTGTGACCCAGGAGGTCACGGTTAGATTCCCAGTCAGGGCACATGCCCGGATTGTGGGCTCTATCCCCAGTGTGGGGCATGTAGGAGGCAGCCGATCAATGATTCTCTCTCATCATTGATGTTTCTATCTCTCTCGCTCCCTTCCTCTCTGAAATCAATAAAAATATATTTAAAAAAATAAGCCTACAGATCAGGGCAGCTGCAACTAAATGTAAGTGGGAAAGATGACACTTATGGTGAGGAAAGAGTTATGGGGAAGGAAATGGGGTGAGAGAATCTGAGTGGAGTTCTGAGTAGGAGGAGGTAAGAATAAATATGAGGGAAATGAAAGACTGGGTGGGGGGGGGAGGTGAGAAAGAGATTGTGAGTATTGCTGGACCATGAGATCTACCGACTCAGAGCCCTGCCGTTTGACTAGTAACATGCCTTTCACATGCAATGGGTGAAGTTTAATGAATGTCACAAAACAGACAACTTTAAAAATACAATGTTAAGTTAAAAAAAAAAAGCAAATTGCAGAAGGCTATATGCAGTATGTTGCTATTTTATAAAAGGTTAAAATATTTTCATATATATATATTGTTTAGGAATTCATGCCTTTGTTGTCAAACTATAAAAACATACACAGAATGATAAACACCAGATTCACGCTGGTGGTTACTTACAGGGAAGGATAATGGGGACTGGGCTTGGGAGAGAGGGCACTGGGATTTCATCTGCACCTGAAATGTTTTCATTGTTTTTTAAAAATTCGAAGTAAGGTGCTCAGGCAAATAAGGAAGATGTTACACTTTGAGTTGGCTGATAGGTACCTGCAAGTTCACTATAGAATTCTTTATGGTTTTCTGTATTCTGGAAACACCTCATTATTAAAATAAAGAGGAAGGAAGAACAGTGGATTCAAGTTGCTGCAAGACGGGCCTGCATATTTGCACAGATACATTAATTATTTGGGAATATTTAAATACATTTTAAAAATATTCTCACTGGAAGATATGTTTTTATTGATTTTCAGAGAGAGAGAGAGAGAGAGAGAGAGAGAGAGAGAGATACAGCAATCGGTTTCCTCCAGTATGAGCCCCACCAGGGATCGAATCCGAAACCTAGGTATGTGTCCTGACTGGGAATTGAACCAGTTGCATGGGACAATGCTGGCCATACTGAGCAACACTGGCCAAGGCTTTAAATATATTTTTAATCTAAATCTTTATCGACACAAGTCTATTTATGGATGAAGAGTATTTCAGATTTAGCCCTATCTGAGACTCAAATATAACTCAAATGTAACCTACATATAACCTAGTGTCCCGTGGGGCCCAGCCACTGCAGTCTCATTCAAAAAAACACATGTCTCACCCCAGCAACCTTGGGAGAGAGGGAAGCCTCTGCGGTGGGGGTAGCTGCTGCCACTTGGATCCCACTCTGGAAATATCCCTGTTTTTGACAGGAGAGGTAGCACTATTGACATATGGGACAGACAGAAAAGGGATCTGACCTACCTTAAGGATGGATGTGACCTGCCTGGGCTTTTAGGGTTTTTGTAGATTTATCTTCTCTTGGTCCGATGATAGCTGAGATTAACCTCTTTCCCTGGTCAGCAATTATATTCTTTACTCCTCTCCCTCGCCTTCTGCAGAAAACTCTGTGAATTCCATGACATTAAATCATTCCCAACCCTGAGACTCAAGATCTCCCATTACTTCTTCTTCCTTACCTACTTGAATATATTTAATATGATGTATTCTCTAACTTACGACTATTTTTTTTTCCTGAGATGGTGAACTTGATATTTAAATTCTACTTTCTCACTCAGAGTTCTATCATCTATAGCAAGTTCTGATTTTAGTTCCTCTATTTATAGTTTGTAGAATCAAAAAATATGATCTCTCTCCAATTTCACTGCTGTTTGAATTCAAATGTTTGTCATCCGATTCCACCATTCATTGGTTTCCCCAGGCAGATAAGTAAATCCGTTACAGAGCTAATTTATTAAATGATAGTGATTCCTAGCTCAAGTATTGAATTGTATTCACATCCAGGGGCGCCTCAAATTCTGAACCATTTATGCTAGATTTCTGGAATTCCTTTCCTCTGATGGAATGATTCAGGGCTAAAATAGAATTTTTAAAATAATGACTCTCATTCAAAAATTATACACTCAACCTAGCAAGTGAAAAGGGACGGCAAAAAAGAAAAAAATTAAAA